AAACAAGCTCTTTCGCACGGTGACGGAGGCTCACGTGACTAAATACCTGTTGAAAATCCGGGACTTCGCCGCAGACTGCCATGAAAGAAGTGAACGCGTATGGTGCGGCGGCTTGCCAGGAGCCACGGACGGACTGGATGAAGGGTCTTACCGTTCGGGAGGTTTGCAGTCGAGGCTCTAGACGCCTGCTGGGGATGTCGCTTGTGTGTGTGCGCCTTGTGAAACTGGCTTTCTCATCGGCAGCCCCGCCAAAGCGATGGTCACAATACGCCCGATGCAAACACAAAATCTCGAGCCAACATGCCTCGACAGAGCCATCAAACAGGCGGTAAGGTCTATGGGATGGGGCTGTTTGCCTTAAGGTTTCGTTCAAGCTAACGGTACTGCATCGCTAGTCGGACTCTCTGCAAGGGACCATACCTCGGAAAAGCACCATTGCCAAAGCCGTCGTTGAGGAAACTGTCGATGGCTTATGTGAGACGGTTAGACTAGTCGCCGGACCCAATTGGGTCTGCAAAGCCTGCAAAAAAAACTTCACGTTTCAAAAATGTGCTCGTCCATGTGCAATTCACATCCAGCACGCTCAAAGGAGCGCATGGAACACATGTGGCAAGTTTAGACGGCACAGCGTTAGGGTTATAGAGCTCAGACACTTAACTTTCATCTTCTATGATCTTTGCCTTGTAATCAGAAATCAACAAGCAAAGAGCGACTTTGGTTCCTAGCGGGCTGCAGTACTTCTCTTTTCTGTTTTTGGCCCTCCCGCCAAGGCCTCATCGCTTGTCTGCCGCTCGGTCTCGATATGTGCACAAAAAACCTTGGCTGACTTCTGAACCCCTCCTGAAAGTTTAAACCTTATAGCCTCCGTATTACAGTTCATGTAGAAGCACAAGAAGTTAAAGTCCTAAGAGCCAAGCAGAAGAATGCCAACTATTTGGATAGTAAGGAACCCTATGAAATAATGTTGATAGTTATTTCGGCCCCTATATTATTACCTAAAACCTCTCCAAAACCCCACTACAACCCTAAAGCAACCCTACAACACCGCTCGCCAAGAAACGGATGGAGCAAACTCCACTTCGACCCTGAACTGGTTCATCTTCTTGATGTGCTTCTCGTGCAGGCGTCGATTCCTAGGTCGACCCTAAACCCTAAACCCCGAAAGCCTAAATCGTAAACCCCTAAATCCTAAACCGCCAAACCCTAAACCCCTAAACCCTAAACCCTAAGCCGAGAGCACCAAGCGGAGGGATGGACGAGCAGAAAGAACATATCTGGAGTCTAGGGTTAAAAAATACGGAGTGCTACATGGGTAATTGTCAAAGTTATGGTCCCTGATTGGGTACCCTAAATATTAGGTGACGTATTATAATAGGGACCCAAACAGGGACCATAATTTCGACAACCACCCACATGTCGGGTATCATGGGAAACTAAAGCTTGACCTTATTGGTTATATAAGGGTTGTTCATAGGGTAGAGTAGGGTTTTAGGGCCCATTATACTATAATCATAATATGGAATCCCTAGACTAGTACTGCTAATTATTAAAGCCCCTATAGTACTATAGCACACATCCTGACATGGGAAGACACCAAACTGAAAAAGCCTTCCACATTCGCTTGGCTTCGGTTGCCGAGGTATGGCTTGCCTTAGATCTTGTGCAAGGGCCACTTGGAGGTTCATGAGTAGTTATAAGTGGGGATATAAGTCCCCTAGCAAGGGTCCTAGGTATAATTACCATACGAATAACGCATAACTACCCATGAGCCCCCAAGCACAGAAAAGCTAACACACTCTCTCCAGACTTTCCCCACCAAAAAGCTTATTAGCACCAATTTCAAACTCAGTAAGTCTGAAACGCTGACAAGAACCTTGACTAGGTTGGCCCTTTCCGGCATCCTGAGGCATAGTCGCAAACAAGATCCTCTTCATCACAACAAGATAAAACATACAGTCTCACAGAGGCCTACCTAAAATTCAATTTTAAAGCACCGCCTAAACCCTAAAGCCTAAAACCCTAAACCCCAAGCCCTAAAATCCTACACCCTAAACCTGAATCCTCTACACTAGGTGGGGCTTTTAAAGCCTTTGAAAAATATTGGTAAGTAAGATCCTCTTAAGCCCAATGAAAGTAAATATAAAATCTTCCAAATCCCTACCTAGTACACTATAGCAGAAGCCTGAAAGTTGGAACATTAGACTCCTCATGCCCTTAAGGTAAAGCATAAGGAATCCTAGCAACAATCCTCCTAAAGCCATGTTCCAACCTTGGCTTCTACCGTAGGCCAGTGGAGCCTGGCTGCGGAACATCACGATTCCAAGAAGCGGAGTCCCAAGACGACTCGACTCGAAGCTCAGGGTTCGTCTGCATTGGGCTTGGCTCCCTCCTCACCATCCTCTTCGCTGCATCAAGCTAAGGGTTTAGGGTTTGGATTAAAAAGGAGGGGCCCTTAATAAGGACCCCTAGGTATATACCCTGAATATAGCTATTATATACCCATTATATAGCCCATTCTAGTGAAATCTATAGGGTTTACTCCTCAGCATCCTGCCCTTTTGAGTTCGGGGCTTCAGGGCGAGAGCCTTTCGGGTTCGGGGTCTTCGCGAGTTTGGAGTGTTACGGTTGATGATACTGATATCAATCCTGCATTACCTTAAGGAACCTAAACTATGCGAATCATGGCATATTCCTTATTCTGGGTAATGCAGGATTTATATCATCAACAGTAGGGTGCATGGTTGGAGAGTCTAGAGATTGGGTGTTGGGGTTTAGATTCTCAGTGTGAGGTTGCCGTTTGTGCCTGGCGGACATCCGCACTGTCAAAACACGACGGTAGTCCCAATTATCTTAACTAGGTGGTGGCTGGTGGTGTTGGTGGTGGTGGTGGTGCTGGTGCTGGTGCTGGCCCCCGCTTTACAACAACCATCCACATTACACTACGTTTCCACCCCAGGTATTGGCATCTGCGAACTGTAGAAGAGTTGTCATGGCTTTTGGGGGATTTAGTGGTATTGTTGTCATGGGTTTCTGCAGGGTTTACGCGGCTTGCGGGTTTAATGGGGCTTTGAAAGGGTTTGCCTGGAAGTTTCAATGTTTCCAGTTCGGAAAATGTCTGGAAGGATTGTGAAGGGTTTTATGTGACGTCCAAGGGCTTCAGTGGGATTTAGAATGGCTTAGTGGGATTTGGAAGGGTTTCAATGGGATTTTGAAGGGTGGAGGTTGGAAGGGTTTGATGGTGTTTAGGATGGCCTTAACAATTGTTTTTTGTGGAACTTAGAGGGTTTTCACAAAGATCTAAATGGGTAGTTGTCAAAATTATGATTCCTTCTTGGGTACCCTAAATATTAGGTGCCATACTATAATAGGGACCCCAAAAAGGGATCCTAATCTTGACAACCACCTACATGAATTCTCCGGAAAGCATAAGCTTGAGGCGCTGGAGCTGTGAGCTGAAGACCACACCCAACTAAACCCTAAACCCTAAACCCTTAAACCCTAAACCCTTAAACCCTAAACCCTAAACCCTAAACCCTTAAACCTTAAACCCTAAACCCTAAACCCTTAAACAGGTAGGGATATCCAAAAAAAACCTTATAATGAAGGCCAATATAAGGTAAGGATATCCCTATAGAATGCTTAAGCTTATGTCTTTTTGGGGTCCTTAATTACAGGCTCCCGAACATCGCGGTCAGCCTGTGCTGTCGCTGGCTCTGCTGCAACTGCCTCTGCAGTATCTGCATCTGCAGTGCCTGCGGACGGCTAACCCTAAGACTCCAAATAGCCCAAAGTAGGTTGTATTTATAGACTTTAGACCCCAAGGTAGGTACTCTTTGTATACTTGGAGTCTGAGGGTAAGGCTCAGGAATGCAAAGGTCCCGATCGCAATGTGGGTGTCGGAATGAAATACTATTCCCTCGTAGGTACAGATAGAGCTCTAATTATGTCGATATGCTGATCTACCCCGAAAGCCCCATTCTGCGTATTCGCTTCTTCAAGCTGAAACCCAGAATCCCCCTTGAAACTCAAGCCGCCAAACCGCAAACCATGCACTCAAGGGGTCTAGGGTTTAAGGCATCAGGAATTTAAGGCTTAGGTACAGAAAAGCAAGGACGCTAAGAGTGACGATCAGGATCTGCTTTTCACGGTGTCCGGAGTGATAGAGGATCAAACACTCTATACTAGACCCTACCCCTATGTTTCACGACCGTAGAGGTGCACCGTTTCGCTTTGGGTCTTGCCTGAGAAGGGTCGTCATGTGGATGAGTCGGGATCCCGGCGGCACACCCCATGTCTCGGATGGACGACGTCTCCTTAGACCCGCCCTCTTCGCAACTTGCGATTTTTGAGCCAAAAGCGCTGCAATCTGAGCTTGAGCGCCCACAAGACATGAACATAAACTGTTCAGGAATTGAAGGTACCCTCCCAAGAAGGGGATAGGCTTCAGTGATGCATGTGTATGTGCCTTCTTCGTCCCTACGAGTTCCGTGGCTGAAGTTTCAGTTCATGAGACAACACTGTAAGGGGCCTTGATTACCTATACCAGTTCTGGGATTCCTTGTTCCCTAAGACTCCAAGTATACAAAGAGTACCTACTTTGGGGTCTAAAGTCTATAAATACTACCTACTTTGGGCTATTTGGAGTCTTAGGGATTCTAATTACAGTTTAAAGTTTAAATGCGCTCCAAAACCCTATTCTAATCAAGCCCCTACATTATGGTAGGGTTTAGGGTTTAGGCTTCAGGGTGAAGGGCCAGTTAAGGGTCCTAAACCCCTCAGTGACTACTGAACGACCTCTGACATCACCGTCGGGTTTGGAACAGAGTCTGAATACCACACGCCCAGCAGGCTTCCAAACGCTAAACCCTAAATCACCAACCCCGTACCCTGCAACCTGAAGGCCGCAAAACCCTTAACTCCTGAAGCCCTTGCGCCCAAAACCTTACATCCAAAAGGTCGTGGACCTTTCAAACTACGCTCGTTGACTCGTTGACTTGGTCCTGTGTCGAAGATGTGTTGCCATCTTCACCTGGCATAGGGGGTGGCTGCGATGGTCAAGTCGGCAGCGTGAAAGTGTATACACAAACAAACAAAAACTGAAGTCGCATGTAGCTTCTCTTGTTTAGCGGTTTATGTATCAAACTACCTATCTATCTGCCTACCGACCTGCGCCTACCTATCTACACACCTACCTGGTGATCTATCCCTGGTGATCTATCTATCTATCTCTGTATCCATCTCGCTGTCTCTCTATCTTTCTGCCTGCCTGTCTGTCTATCTACCTACCGACTTATCTATCTGTCGATCTATCTGTCTGTTTATCGATCTATCGATGTTCATGGCCTGAGCGATCTTAGAGATCTATCGGTCTAGCGATCAAGCGATCTATCTATCTATCTGCTCTAACCATGTATAAACCTATCTGTCCATCTATCGATCTATCGACCTCTCTACTCCGTGAGTCTGGCTACTGTCTGTTAGTCCCTCCGTCTCTCTTTCTCTCTGTCTGTCTAGACCAACAGGCAGATGGACAGACAGGCAGACACATAGATCGACAAACGGTCAGATACCGCTGAAGCTTCTGGCTGTGTCCGTGTGTTTTGGTAGGTACTTTCACAGACATTTGCGTCGGGACTCCGCATTACCATTCGAGTTCAAGCTAAGGGTTGCTCCCTCACGCAAGACTATGCAACTCTGCAGATCAGAAGCTTTAAGGAGCCATATTCAGTTGCATGTTCCTGACATAATATGGGGGCTGTTTGGGTACAGTCTATACTTCCGCGTCTATCTCATATCCTTGTCTGCTATGCCTAAACCTGAAGCCTGCCTCAACATGATGGTACCCATACGGTTGATGATATAAATCCTGCATTACCTTATATTAAGGACCCCAGACTATGGAATTTATGGTATATTTCTTATTATGGGTCATGCAGGATTTATATCATCAACCGTATCTAGTACAAACCCTAGTACGTGTATGTACCTGGCTACTTCAGCATAGTCTACGAATGCAACGCAGCAGTGGGGGGGTTCGGGAGTCTTTGGGACAAGGACTCTGAATGTGGGGTTAGGGGACTATAGTCCTATAGCTTGTAGCATCCTAGCCTAGAGGTCAGCCATGAAGAAACACCTATATACGTTGAAGCCTCGTAACATAGGGGCATTAATGATTGTTAATGATTGGAATAAGGTTTTTGGACCCATTTATAGTATACTTGTAATAAGGAGCCCGCAAAACAGTATTGGTAATTATTTAGGCTGAGCCCCAACCCTGAATCCCAAACCCTAGACCCTGCCCTAAACCCTCCAAAAACACAAAACCCAGAATCCTAGACACACCACTTAACCCTAAACCCCGACGCTGTCCCAGAATCCTGGACCCTTAAACCTGAACCCTGCCCCAGAATCCTACACCCTAACCCAGAATCCCAGACCCTTAACACTTCACCCTAACCCAGAATCCCAGACCCTTAATTAACACTAAGCCCTGAACCCTAAGCCAGAATCCCAGACCCTTAACAGTATACCCTGAGCCCCCAACCCAGAATCCTAGACCCCTAAACCCTAAACCTCCCTAAAAAAACCCTAAAACCCCTTAAAAAACCCTAAACCCCCTTTAAAAAACCCTAAACCCCCTTTAAAAAAAACCCAAAACCAACCAATCCAAAAGCGTCTAATCCGCCTTTTTTGGACCTCTGTGGGCTCCCGGTCAAGAGGCCTTGGATGACATGGTAAGGGTTTAGGGTTTAGGGTTTCGCGCTTGTTTTCCGTGAAAGGTGTACCCCCAATCGGCACGAAGAAAAAGGACGCACGTCCGAAGTCTTCAGCAAAAGCGTCGTTCGTCACGTACGCGGAGCTCTTACATGCCCACCCCAACGAAGCCACCCAGAGCTTCCGTACTGAACTTAAGTTCTTAAGCGTTTCCGACAGAGAAGGATCTGCACACGAGAGTGCAATCTCCGGTATAGTACTGACAGTACTGTCTAGAGAATATATTAAGGAATACTTGTATACACACATGCAGTTACCTGTAAATGGCTGTAATTGTAGCTTTACAATTACCATTTACCTCTAGGTAAGACTAGAATGTCTTTTGTTTCATTCCCGTATTGCTGCAGAATGTGGCCCCGACCTGCTTGGGCACACACGAGCACTCGAGGGTCCATTTTTCGATCCTAAGCCTGGGAACCCAGTGTAGAGCAGGCACACGAAAAGAACGGCCCTGTTTTGCTGCAGAATCTGGCTTTGGCCGCTTTGGACACCCATAGGCACCGGATGGTTTAGAGCAGGCACACGAAAAGAACGGCCCTGTTTTGCTGCAGAATGTGGCCCCGACCTGCTTGGGCACACACGAGCACCTGGGAACCCAGTTTAGAGCAGGCACACGAAAAGAACGGCCCTGTTTTGCTGCAGAATGTGGCTTCGGCCGCTTTCGGGCACCCATAGGCACCGGATGGTTTAGAGCAGGCACACAAAAAGAACGGCCCTGTTTTGCTGCAGAATGTGGCCCCGACCTGCTTGGGCACACACGAGCATTCGAGGGTCCATTTTTCGATCCTAATCCTGGGAACCGAGTTTAGAGCAGGCACACGAAAAGAACGGCCCTGTTTTGCTGCAGAATCTGGCTTTGGCCGCTTTGGACACCCATAGGCACCGGATGGTTTAGAGCAGGCACACGAAAGGAACGGCCCTGTTTTGCTGCAGAATGTGGCCCCGACCTGCTTGGGCACACACGAGCACTCGAGGGTCCATTTTTCGATCCTAAGCCTGGGAGCCCAGTTTAGAGCAGGCACACGAAAAGAACGGCCCTGTTTTGCTGCAGAATGTGGCTTCGGCCGCTTCGGGCACCCATAGGCACCGGATGGTTTAGAGCAGGCACACGAAAAGAACGGCACTGTTTTGCTGCAGAATCTGGCCTTGGCCAGCATTGGGCGCACAAGAACGGGATGGTCTAGAGCTGCCACATGAAAGGATCGGCGCTGTTTTGCTGCAGAATGCGGCCCCGACCAGCTTGGGCACACACGAGCACTCGGGGGTCCATTTTCCCCAGATTTCACTCGGCGCTTAAGGGGGGGCTTAGGGTTATATATCTCTGTATAGTACTGACAGTACTGTCTAGAGAATATATTAAGGAATACTTGTATACACACATGCTGTCTACCTGTAAATGGCTGTAATTGTAGCTTTACAATTACCATTTACCTCTAGGTAAGACTAGAAGATCTTTTGTTTCATTCCCGTACAGGTGTGTTACGCTCCTGTACGTGAGAAGGCAGAAGCTGAGCATTCAGGCTTAAGCTTTTGGGTTTAGGGTTTAGGGGCATTCCCTGCTTTTAGGTCTGCTTTATTTTGGTACATAGTAAGGTTCCGACGTAATGGGCGCAATGCAACGCATGATGTCAACTACGAGGCAGAAGCCTTAAAGCAGCGATTGTCAGGTCGGCAAGGCGAGTTGTTCGAATTGATGCTTTTCGGAATCTGGAATTCCGGCGGCTAGAACGGCATGTCATCTACCCCAGTAAACACGAACCTGCATACAGATAGCAGTGACGTCCGAATATCATCCACAGGTCAAGGCAATAAACATGTCCTCACAGGTTGATGACTGCAGTGGGCCAGTGGGTGTGAGAAAGGCTTTGATGCTAGTTACGCAAACTACATGCGCACAGTTTTGTCATTCCCTAAACCCTAAATTCCCGGAACCCCTACACGCTACACACGAATGGTAGCAACACAGGGTTACAGGGACTACTGTAAGGCGTAAGTATATCCTCTCGATCTAGGTACATGAAGCCACAGAGTCAAGCTGAGAAGCGCGTGTCCAGTCGCACTTCCTTCATCCGGAAGCACTCGCGGACGGCACCTAAACATTGCCAAAAATCAGAGTTTAGCGTTCATTTTCCAGGACTTAGACGGTAAGATCTACACAGTCTCCGTCTGCAAGCCTTGAGCTTGAGGGTCTCACAGATATGTATATATATACACACTATATATGTACACATACATGTCTATGTAAACATCAAGTATGCTCCGTAATATGTAGCTCCGTATATCACATTTCATAGCCGCGAGGTGGCCAGGCTGAGATGCCAGCGGGTGGCAGCACAGAGAGAGACAGAGAGAGAGAGAGAGAGAGAGAGAGAGAGAGAGCGAGAGAGAGAGAGAGAGAGAGAGAGAGAGCGAGCGAGACAGAGAGGCAGGGAGAGGGAGAGAGAGAGAGAGAGCCTTCTTCTCTTCTCGTTGCCGTTCTCATGATCGGCAGAGGGTCCTAATCATAATATCATGAACTTCACAGGGCTTATAGGGCTACTTTAGGGTTGACAAGCGGTTCATAGGGCTTAGGTTTGATAGGGTTTAGGGTCCTAATCCCAAAACTGACGACAGGCAGGTCGAGAGACAGTTGCTGTTCTTGCGGCCACGGGCGCCCTTTCCAAAAGCTGCGGTGTCCAGCTGAATCAGGACCTCTGCGAGGAGTCCAGTGCGAGTATGCCCTACGTCATCTGCATGCAGTGGCAGAATCAGAATCCCTAATTCCCAGATCGAATCCCAAAACCCGAAATCCAAAACCGTTCCCTAAACCAGCCTGTTCTTCGACCCAGCCATCCGTCTGCACGTCGAAATGGCGCTTTTTGGCCAGCAGCGGCGCACCTTGAACCGTTCAGGGTATGGTTTAGGGTTCATGGTTCATAGTTTACGACAAGGTTTACGGTGTTCACAACTCGAGGCTTAATGGAAGGTGGACGTGGTGTAAGAGGTTTCCAATAGTGAACCCTCGTAGCTTGTCTTCATAGAATATCCACGAATCCCGGACCAGCAGCCCAACCCCAAAAAGAAGAAGAACCCAGTAGCCTCGCTGGAAAACCCGAGGAGTATAGTGTAAGTCGTAGGGCCCGATGCTCCCCGTCCCTCAATCTTAACGCAAAGCTAAGACCACCCACCGCCCTAAACCCTAAGCCCTAAATCCCTAAACCCTATAAGACCACCCGCCGCCCTGAACCCTAAACCATAAAACCCTGAACCCTATAAGCTAAGACCACCCGCCGACCAAAACCTAAACCCTAAAACCGTAAATCCCAAAAGCCAGGACCACCCACCCCGGCCTGGGCTAAAGTCCAGCCACTGATTCTGAAACTGCTCTCTGGCTTTCCTGGCCACAGACAGGCAAACGAACAAACAGTTTAGGAGCAAGGGTCTTGAGAGTTTAGGTTTCAGGGTTTACTGGGGTTTAGGTTTCAGGGTTGGTGGGGATTTGGGGTTCGTGGTTTGCTTTGAACTCCTGTCTTGGCAGAGTCGTGCGCAACGGGGTTTTAGGGTTTGGGTTTCAGGGTTTAAGCACACAGCGAGTCTGAAGGAATAGGTCCAGTGCAGTTGGGGTACACAGGAGAGCCCTTAGTAGAACCCTTACAGAACTCTCCCGTATGCTGACAAGATAGAACCCTCTCGCAGAGCCCGTGTGGATCTCTATGCCAGGATTAACCGAGCACCCGCAATACGTCGTAGTATTCCTTCCACTTTGCTTACCTTTGGTTAGTAGGGAATGGAGGAATGGGGTACAATTATAACTACTATTACTACCATTCTTCCATTCCCTACTAACCGAAGGTAAGTTTGCAGGAATCCTCAGTACCTGGCCCTCAACCCACGAGGCCCTATGCAACACCACTGCGAAGCCCTATCATCGCCTATTTACCGATAAAACCCCTCATGACGGCACAAGTGAAAGTAACCTTCGAGTTCTGGGAAGCCTGCTAGCCCGAAGCCGAGACAATAACCCCTCATTAAGCCTAGGCTGGAGGTGTGTGCGTTTTCGAGTTGGGTTCAGGGTTTAGGGCCTAGGGTTCAGACCGCACCGGTCAGCATCTACGCCCCAGGCCCTACCCTAAGGCTCCACGTACCTACAGCGTCGAGACTTCGGCCTGAAAGTACCTATTTACTTACTACTCGAAGGCATGAGTCTACCTATATTGGTACATGCAGCCTTTGAGATGTTGGCCCGAATCCGAACAGCAAGAAACCATCCCAGTATACCAATACCTGCCCCTATACCTATACCAACAAATACACCTACACCTATACCAGTACCTTTACACCTATACCTATACCTATACCAGTACCTAGCCTTGCAGCTTGCAGGAGCGACGCCCTGGCAGAGCCACGGTAGCCCTCGGTGTGAGCCTCAAGGGATCAGGCCAATTTACGGTTTAGGGTTTAGGGTTTAGGGTTTAGGGGTTTAGGAATTTAGGGTCTTAGGGATCTAGGGTTTTAGGGTTTAGGGGGTTTAGGGTTCAGGTTTAAGGTTCAGGGCGGTTGTATATGGGTAGTTCTCTAAAGTAGGATCCCTGTTTAGGTCCCCGGAATAGCACGGCTCCCTTGTAAACAGGACCCAAAACGTGACCCTAATCCCTAATCATATAGCTTTATCATGCTTATCAAGAGACCGGGGTTCGTCGTGTGATGTTTCAAAGCCCATAGTCATTGACAATCATATGGTGCTTCTTCAATGGGGTACTTCTTCAGTGGCCTTTGCAGCCAAGAAGCAGATTCCGAAAAAATCTTTCAAATGGCTGGAATGATACAGAATGTTTTGGAATGTTCAGCGGCGTCCAGCAACAGCCAAAATAGGCCCAAAACGATGCCTTGCTTCAACCTCTGATGCATGCGGTTGGGATTTTTTCGGACAAGCCAATCCAACATTTGGAAACGTTCGCTAAGATTCCGAAAAATACCAAACATTCCGAAACATTCCAAAACATTCCAAAACATTCCAAAAAATCCAAAAAAAAGTCTTTCCGGATCGCGTGTGTGCGGTTTTCAATTCTCTCGACCTTTGCCTGCTGGCAAGGGAAATGCTGCCCAATTCTTTGCGGCACATTTTCTTTGCTGACAGACCTCGACCCAACATTCTGGAATTTCTTGGAAGGTTTTAGAATGTTGTGGCATGAAAAGGTACGTTTTGGAATGTTTCAGGTGTTTAAGGCAAATTCCGGAATTATGAGCGAGGTCGGGGCTAACTCTGAAGAAGAACCCTGTTGAAAAAGAACCATAAGATTGTTTAAGACATAAACCCACAAAGATCTTCCAGAACACTCTTAAACCCTCAAAATGCCCGTAACACCCTTTTGAAACCCTGCCTCGAAACCACCGGCTTTCGATGCTTAGAGCTCAGGGTGGAAGTCCTTTAGGATCTTCTATTCGGGAGCAGGATGCTCAAGATCGCCACGGTACGTACAGAGCCCGGCGACGCTACATGCAGCAGGTTCCGAGAGAGAAATCTTGCTCCGCACTACTACCCTAAGAGTCCTAAGTAATCACCTACATGGCGGATACTTGCCCAAACCCAAATAGTAACTCTTATTATAGAAACCCTACAGTCAACCATATAGTAATGAATCTATCCTATATACAGAATGCCCAGATTCTACTATACAGGTACTTAGGACCATTTGGACTTCAAAGCCCTAAAAACAGCCAACTATTTAGTAGTATCTCCTAATTACCCTATTATATAAACCCTATATTCTACTATAACTTATAAAGGTAGTAAGGCTAAGGACCATTTGGAGCTCATAACCGGCCTTGATCTGCGCCTTTGTTTCCGCGGAAAGCGAGAACTGTCCTCGAGCTGCAGCGTGATTGAAAACGAGGACTGCAAGAAACGGGACGGTTGATGATATAAATCCTGCACTACCCATAATAAGGAATATACCATAAATCCCATAGTTTCGGGTCCTTAAGGTAATGCAGGATTTATATCATCAACAGGAGTAAATTGCCGATCCACCCTAAACTCAAATTCGACTGATTCGTGAGCTAGTGGGTCTGCAGTTGGGGCGTTTGAACAAGTTTGGCCTGCAGTCTCAAAGCTACACGCTAAGAAGTATGCAAATCGGCTTCCGGTACGATTCTGGCGTGGGGCTCACGACGAGGGAAGAAGCTTGCGGGGTCCCACGACTAACACTCGACAAATGCATGCACTGTGACTTCACGCACTGCCTACTTGTCCTGTTTCGCCAGAGATCCAAAAAACCTAAACCACCAAACCCTAAACCCATGAACCCCTAACCCCTAAAACCCCAAACTCTAAACCCTAAGCCTAAACCCTAAAACCGTAAACCCGAAAAACCCTAAACCCCTAAAGGTTGGTCCTAGCCCCGCCCCCACCCCTAGGGCCCCCCCAAACCGCCTTGGGTCCCTCATAATCGGGGGCCTCAGAAGGTAGGATGAAGGTAGGTGGGATATTCCCAAATAAGAGTCCTTATATTGGGGATCTTTCATCCCACCTACCTTCATCCCACCTTGTGAAGCCTCCGACATATCTGTCTCGGATGCATACTCTAAACCCTGGCGCGCCAAACTCCAACCCCTCAACCCGCCTGAACCCGTAATACCCGAACCCGGAACCCTAAAGCCCAAAGCCTTAAAGACGAGCTGCTGGAAGCAGGAACGAACATCTCTCCGCCCCAAGTGGCATGAGCAGGGAATTTCTTCGACTCGGTCCACAACTCTGCTTTTGAAGCTCAGCTGAGAACCGCTTTGGGCTTGTTTGTTTCGGGCTCAGGGTTGCAGTGTGTAGGGCTTGCAGTGCTTGGGAGCTGTGTCTTTAGGACTGACAGTTTAAGGTCTGGGGTTTGGTTTCATTCTCGGGATTTTTAGGGTTCAAGCTTCAGGGTGTAGGTTTTGGGGCTACAAAATGGCGCCAGAATTGTAGGGTAGACCTGAACCACCCAAAATATACCTACCATTCGTAGCTAGCATACCAGGAAACCATGTTTGCGAGTACACCGTGGCCCTTATTCGTCTGGTGCCAGCTCACTTAAGTAGTTGATGCAAGCCTCCACGAGACTTTGTAACGATGTGCTAGGCCTCTGTTCGACAAACTGCGAGAGAAGCCACATGGCCTGAGCCAGCTGTTGCGAGGCCCAGCTCCAAAAAGTCTTGCAGCATGTGGGGGAGGGTGAGAAACACGGAATCCTAAACCCTAAACCCCAATCCAACATGTTGCAAACTCCAAGGGTTCAGGGTTCAGGGGCTACGGTTAAGGGTTTCGGGTTTTCCAAAGTAGACATCATGGACTTCAGTGAGCTCTTCCACAGGAGAGTGTCTGGAGCTGAGCTAATGTAGGGGCCTTAATAATGAGAACAGGGTTCTGGGGGTTCCTTATTGTAAAAATAGTATACTATCCACCCAAAACCGTGTTCTAGTTATTAAGCCCCCTACATCAGTTCAGCTCAGACCCTTGATATATTTCTAGTATAATATCCCCCAAAACCCTATTCTAATTATTGAGGCGCCTACATTTAAACCTGAAGCCTCGATCCCTGAACCCGTAGACACACAGCCGACGCTCCAACCTAGCTCCAATGCACCTTCTGCTTGGAGGTTCATGGGTACGTAGCTATAAGTGGGTTATAAGTACGGTAGCTACAATTATAACCCAAACTACGGTTGATGATGCCTTACCCGCAAAAAGGAATATACCATAATTCCCATAGATTAGGGTCCCTAAGGTAATGCAGAATTTATATCACCAACAGTAGGGAACGTATAATCCACTTATACCTGACTCGATCCCAAAGCCTAGGGCCCTGGAACTTCGGCTCGGAACCCTTGTGTTTAGGGTTTAGGATCCCTCAACGACAGAATACTCTAAGCGAAACAAAGCCCTTAATTAGTAGTAAGGTTCTGGAAAAAGGTAACCCTAACTTAAGTTCGAGGGTGCCGTTGCACCCGAGCCAGAACAGTAGATTTACCAAACCGCTGCACACCCAGAAGGAAACCTCAAACCTTAAAGCCTTATGAAGCCCTTACGAAAACATCGTGGTATGAAGCCTAGGTAAGAGAAAGAAACAAAAGTAAACCCCCAAATCCTAAACCCTAAACCCTAAAACCCTAAACCCTAAACCCCCAAATCCTAAACCCTGAACCCTCGGAAGGCCAAGCTGGAGGCGGCCTGAAGGTCCTTCGGTAAAACCGGGGTTCCGTGTTGGAGGACCGCCTGAAATCACGGGCCGCCACGGTTTAGGGTTTAGGGTTTAGGGCTTAGAGCCAGAGCAAATTCACTCATGCTATTGAACACAAAATAAAAATAGTGAACGTGAGCATCTTTTACTAGTAATAATGGTGATGTTAGCAACTTTTCCACTACTGTCAGCATCATCGTCGTCATCATCGCCGCCATCCTCTCCAACACCATCATCGTTATCCCCACCACCTTCTTCAACCTCAACATCATCATCATCATCATCATCATCATCGGCAGTATCCTCCTCCTCATCATCAACATGGCATAGGACTTGCGCGGACGGCTTTATATAACTAAGAGCGAGAACAGGATGCTATGTGGCCTTTTAAGGTGGACAGGGGTTTACAATACTTTAGTACCCAAAGCATCCCAGGTACTGTTATGGGGAATACTTCCTCAAATTATAATAAAACTTCCTAATATAGAAACCCTACACTCTACTACATAGGTTCTTCGCACCCTTTGGGGTACAGGGCTTCTGACAATGAGCGGATTTGGGGCTTTCACGTAAAATTACTGCATACCTGACCAGAGCCTGTCATCCTGCAAGTACTACCCGAGCGACCTAACACCTCAGGGGCTGAGCTATGGTACGGTTGATGATATAAATGCTGCATTACCTTAAGGACCCTAGACTATGGGATTTATGGTATATTCCTTATCAAGGGTCCTTTTCATAAGGGCAGCGTACTTTGTTGACCTACTTGTCGGGTATCATGGGGAACTAAAGGGTTAACCTTTTTGGTTATATAGGGATTATATAGGGACTATACTACCCAAAAAGAGTTAAAGGTTACCTACTCGACTACTAGGTGCTAGTATTCTACAAACCCGAAAAGGTTCAAGGTTGCCTATTCAGATACTAAGACACCCCAACCCGAACCCTAAAGCCCCTGACACTCAGTAGCTCTGGTCTATTGGAGGCTAGCTGGGGGGCCCGATCCATCTGCACAGCTAAAATTTTGAGCGCAAGCCACTGTGGGAATTTCTGCAAATAGGGGATCCTAACATGGTACCCTGCATAGTAGGATCCTTATCATAAGCACCCCCAAATAAGGTATTCTAATTTTCGGAAACTCCCCTGTGAGCCCTGCAGCTGACAGCACGTGGGAAACACTTTTGACTTCCTTTCGCCGGCTGCTGTGATCGGAAGCAGCGAAAAGTCAGGCTAATCCGTCCTCGGCTGGGAGGGGTGTTGTAATTTGAGGGCTTACGGTGTAGGGCTTGAGCCTTCGGGTTGTGGGCCCCACCCTACCCTAAACCCTCTACCTTCCTACCCTAAACCCTAAACCCTAAACCCCTGATCGATAAGCACTCTCGGACAGAAAGTAGGAAGTCGAAGATCCGAGGTCCCTCAAAGAAAGAGGCTCGGGAGTCTATTCATGAGTTTAGGGGTGTAGGGTTTACGGGTTTAGGGTTTAGGGGTTTAGGGTTTAGGGGTTTAGGATTCAGGGGATCTGTATAGGATTTAGGCATAACAGGTCAGGAAGTAGCTAAACTTAACTTTAGCTGCCACATGTCTAGTCCTGGTTACGGCCTGAAAATCAAACCTTACAATGCCTTACAAGCCCTAAACCCTAAAAGACCCTAGATCCTTACTAAGCCCTCAAAAGATCTTAAACCCTGGACCCTAAACCTCCTAAGTCACCAAAGAATCTTTTGAACCGAAAGAATTTCTATCTCCCTTTAGGATGTCCTTAAGGGGGGTGGTCCAAGGGGGGTAGGTAACCTAGTAATCCCCATTATTCCCCAATACTCCCTAAGCTTCCCTAAGGTTCCCCAAAGCTCCCTAGTACCCTCCCCCCTTGAACCACCCCCCCTTAAGGATCCTATAATCCCTGCCGAGGCTGCGGTTTCTGCACTTTGCCGACGGCGGAATCGCGTGCTTGTGGGTTCTTTGGCAGGTGCCCCCCATTACCTGGCTTGTGGGTTTTTAGGGGATTTGGGTTTAGGGTTTTAAAAAGGGAACCCTAAAACACCAAAAACTCCCAACACCCTCAAAAACCTTTGGCTCGTGGGCTATAGGGTTTTAGGGCTCAGGGCCTTAATAGAATAGGGGAACCCTAGAACCCCAAATGCCCAAAAACCAACCTTGGCTCAACAACCCTAAACCCTAAAACCCCAAAAGCCCAAAACATCCTAAAACCCTCAAAAACCCTAACCCACGCCTCGAAAACCCCAAACCCTAAACCCTAAGACCCCTAGACCCTGCACCCAAAACCTTCAAGCAACCCTGGCAGCACCCGACTGGGCATCGGGCGATCAGGTCGCCATCCTTCACGTCAACCTCAACCTCTCGAGCTCGGAGTTTCACAAGATTGGGACTTAGGTACTTCTCCCAAACAGTAAGAGTCTATGATAAGGCTCCTATTAAGGTCCTCATACATCTGTATTATGAATATTTTCAACTATTACACAGTGGGGGCCGTACCCAAATTGGCACCTCCTAACTACAACAATCGTATGATGTACACGTCTGTATGTATGCTTGTACGTACGTGTGAACGTATGTCCGAGTGCGGATGCTTTGTACGCATACGTGTATGTATGTATGTATGTATATATATATATATATATATATATATATATATATATATATATGCTAAGACATGTGCGTGCACAAGTATGTGTATACGCATACACATGTAAGTAGTACATGCGACTATGTGCATGCATACATACATACATACTAGCATACATACAAGCATACTTACACAAACATACATACGCACATGCATACATACATACATACGTACATACATACATACATACATACATACACAAGATGTGTGTATAATTGTGTATAATTATATATATATATATATACATATATATATATATGTATATGTATATGTATATGTATATGTATATGTGTGCATGGTTACATATGCATATATTCACGTACATATACATGTTTATATGTATTCATTACATACTTGTGTTGATTATGAATATGTTCGCACATGTATCTGTAGGCTAGCAGGTCGCTCAGCGTACATACCCCTCAAGAAGGTGTAACGTCTATGTGACCCAGCAAGCCAGTACCTACCTAGAGGGAATTGCAGAATCAACAGTAGAGTAGTTGTCAAAATTATGGTCCCTTTTTGGGCACCCTAAATATTCGGTGCCGTGTTATATTGGGGCAAAAAGGGACCCTAATTTTGACAACCACCCGCTAGGACGCCGGGTTTCTCGCGTCGCTACGGGTTTCGGTCAGATCTTACATTGAGATGCGGGTCTGAGGGCTTCGGGATTGGAAACCTGCTGCTTATGTTGTCCAGGAAGTGCCACACGTCCAATTCCACTATGCCAAGATCTTGCTGCAGGTGTTTAAAAAAAGAGGCCTGAATAATTAGAATAGGGATTTGGGGTGTTTATCTAGGCCCCTATATCGGGGTTTAGAAGCTGACCTGTTTAGGGTTGGAGTCT